TATAATTCGTTTCTAACTGAACAATCTTCTCTCGCAACTCTTGATTTTCCTTCTTTAGAATATCTGCCATTTAAAAAAAAATGATCAGTTAAGGATCTATGCAGTGAAATCAGATAAAAAAATATGAACAGTTAAGCTCAAAAAGAATAGAAAAACACAAACACTGAAAAACTCACGCAAAAAAAACAAATGTACAAAGATCCAAATGAAAAAAAACTAAACACAAACAAACTAAGAAACTAAAAACAGTGTAAAAAAAATAAACCGAGTCCAAGAATTTGAGTCTGAGTCCAAAGCACACCAATCTAAGCCCAAATGCAATACAGATATTACACAAAAAAATGATCTAAAAAAAATATCTGCTCTCTGAAGTGTATTCAAAAATCCACTTGAATATGCTCCGCTTATCAGTTGCTTCACACGAGCTGCGGTGACTTGTTCTGATATGCTTCAAAAGCCTGCTGTGAACCTGTTGCTGCTCCGGTTCTAGTCTGGCTCAGGTGCAAAGGTTCACACCGCACCTACTTAAAAAAATTGCCTCTCAGATGTCCATCGCTTCACGACATTCAGCCTTGTTAGGTGGACATTCAGCTGCTGGGGCTCATTATGGTGGTCAAAATACTTCTGTGTATGGTTCAACAGCACTCTACAGGTTCCAGCTACAAGTGCCAAAGGAGCTGGACCATCTGTTTTGGAAGGTCAAAATGGTTATGGCTCAACCTTGCAAGAGTCGTCAAAGTTCACATAGCAATCAATCTAATCAACAAATAAGCAAAACAAATAGAAATCCCTTAGAACTGGTAAACCACACTCAATTATGCCATATGCATCATGGATTGTTGCTGCTGTCTAATTGCTGTCAATCTGCTGTTGAAATGGGTCTGATAAAATGGATCGAAAACAGGTCACTAGCAAGTCTACACTGTTTCAAAAATGCTCATGAAACAGATTCACAATCCGTCAACTGTTTCTGTCATTACCAACATATTCAAATAACAGGATTAACCCTGCACCAATTGAATTTGATGTGTGATGCTTAAACAACCAAATCAACCTGCCTGCTTCAAATCTGTTTTTACCTGCTGCTGTCAAGACCACAACAACTAGTAGTTGCTGCTGTATCTTCTCTGCTTTAAAGACCTGCTGTGTATTTAAGTAGCTTGTAAAAACAGTTTAAAAGTGAAGTGTATTTCCAAATACAACAGCAAACAAAAGTTAAACAGATTCCTGTACAAACTTGTTACTGTTACTGCATGAAATGAAACCAGTCACCTGCACTTACTGCTGTTACTTATGACAGTAAAGGAACTATGAACAAACCAGCAAGCTAAACTGTTGCTGCTGCTGCACAATGTGTAGCTGCTACCTATCTAAATCACAAACTGTTTCATATCACAAGCTCGACCACACAGTCAACTGTTTTAAACACCAACACAACACAGCAGAAACAGCAAACCACTATCACAATGTTTAAACCTGTTACTGCACAAAAATTAAACTTGTTGCTGCTTTGTGTATGCTGTTGCTGTCACTGTTTAGCTGCTTCAATGTGGTTGCTGTTACAAAACAAAACAAGCTGCTGTTTCAGTTCAGTTTAAAACAAGTTAAAAAAAAAAAAACTGTTAAACAGTTGCTGTAAAAAAAATGAAGCTGTTGTTGTTTAGATGCTGTTGCTGTTTCTGTTGCTATGTTCCCTCAAAACTAGCAGTCTTTTAATTCTTGCTATGTTCCTTCAAAACAAAACCTGGACTTGATATCAAACCAGAGCTTGATATCACCTGCACACTGTCACTGCGTAACCAGAGCTTGATATCACCTGCACACTATCACTGTCACTACAAAACAGAAAATTGCATTAACCTGTTTCACATCATAGTTACTAAAAAAAAAACAATCCAGAATGTGACAATTCTTCAAAGCAGATGAAAGTGACAAAGATGGAATTTTAATCCAAGAAAACTGTTATGTGCGATAAACCCAAAATCACATAAACCCTAGTCCACTCAAGCTATCTCTGAATTAGATACTAAAATGTTCAAGACCACCTGAGTGATATAGAAATCGGACAGTGAGGTTGAGCGATTTATGAATCCTCTTAAATCACACACTTGGATAACCCTTGAATTCAATAGGATTATGTGATTTAACAAAATCAGGTCAAGAAGCAGTAAGCGATTCAGGATCTGGGTAAATGAAAATGATTGAGTGGTTTATGAATCCGGTCAAGATGAATCGACGGTTTAATAAACCGGACAGAAAACTTTGAAAAAATCTAAGTCCTAAACCGCTCAAAAAACTTGTTGAACGAATGAGATCTAATCCGGGCAAGTGATTACCGGTTTATATGAATACCGGACAAGTGGTGTCCGGTGTAGAATGAATACCGCGCAAATGATTCAGAACTCAACCGCTCGTTCTCCGCTCAAGTTGCATCCGGTGTAGATGGAGTCCAGAGCGAGGAAGATGAAGGCTGTAAGCGGACTCTTAGTCCGGTCAATGTAATGTGGGCCAAAAATGAAAAGCCCAAAAAAAAAAAAAAAAATCTAAGAGATTAAATCGGGTAACATTGGACGGTTTAACAAAATTAAAACCAAATTCAAAATAAAACCAGATCAAAAACTATTAAAAACACAAAAAACAAAAAAATTTAACAACAAAATGGATCAAAAACACTGATTTACAAAAAAAATTAAGAACACGAAAAAAAATTTAAAACACAAAAACCCGATCAAATCTTGATTAAAATTGATCAAATCGTAAAAGTTTGTGAATAACAAAGATTCACAATTCAATTTCGAACATTTTGATCATGTTTTTAACGCAAAAACACAAGATTTTATGAGAAAATCGGATCAAAAACGAAGAAAAAACCAAGAACACGAAGAACACGAAAAGAAAAAAAAAAAAATTCAGAAAAAAATTCACTTATCTGATCAATTTCTTTTCCTGATTTCTTGCATTCCAGCTCTGATACCAATTGTGTGTCCACAATAACATTGATCAATCTTCATATTAAGCTTCCTTCAATGGCAGATTCATAGATATTGCATTAAGAACACTATGAACACATATATGAATATTGAGAGAGAAAGTCAATCCTCTCAATTCAGTCAATCCTCTTATTACTAATCTGAATATTACRATTAGCTCCCTTCACTTACTAATTACAAAGATTACCACCCTATTTATATGGTCAACATATTAATACAAAGTCAAAGTCAAACTAGTCTAAGAAAGTCAAACACGCTGACTTTACAATTATAGATTAAAATTAATCTTTCAAGACGAATACAATTAATACTGATTTTTCAGTCCTAACACCAAGGCTTTCCAAATGATTCTCAAGTCCATTCGTCACACGGTTTTAGATGAATCTATTGGATTTCAAATCCTAACAATCCTACAAACCAAACACATGAATCGAATGAATTTCAAATCTAAAATCCTCAAATTCCATTCTATTATTTCGTGCAAACCAAACAACCCTTTAAAGAAATTTACCATTTCTTGAATATACTAATGGGAATATCAGTTGTCGGTATAAGACAAACTGCGTATAAAAATGCAATATTCATTTATTTTTTATTAAAAAAAAATATTCGATAGACACTTTAAAAGATCTGTCTATTTAAATATCTAGAATTTGGATCATTTGAAATCAACCTGTTTTCGTGAGACCCATGAGACCACTTTATATTTGAAACTTCAAAGTAACAAACTGTGAAGGTAAACCTTACCAGTGTTTTGATGTGAATGTTTGGATTTTTTTTACCTTCATAATGTTTTGATGTGAAGTTTTAACTTTAAAAATATGATCTCACGGGATTAACAAAAACATGTTGGTTTTATGTGAACCCAACTTTAAAAATAAAATATAATATATCTTTTATTTAAAATAGACATTCTAAACCAAAATATTTTAAGTCAATAATTTTTTTAAGGGAAAAGTACAATAAAAACCAATGGACTTTCTTGTTTGGAATGATTAAGTCTTTAGACTTTTTTTTTACAAATAAGTCATTGGACATTCCAAAACATGTTAAATATGTATTTGGACAATTTTTTGGAACAAATAAGTCTTTGGACATTCCAAAATATGTTAAATAAGTCATTGGACAATTTTTGGAAGTCATTGGACATTCCAAAAAATGTTAAATAAGTCATTCGACAATTTTTGGAACAAATAAGTCCTTGAACAATCCAAAACATGTTAAATAACTTCTTGAACTTTTATAAAACATGTTGGATACATTCTTATGACTTGTACAACTAGTTAAAGTGGTAAAATAATGAAAAAAATCCGGAAAAAAACCCAATGAACATTCATATTTTGAACGATTAAGCCCCTAAATATTTTTTGAACCAAAAAGTATTTAGATCTATAAAATTAAACAAATATAACAAAAAAGTATTTACATTTACAAAAAAATAATTATATTTAAAAAAAGATTTTTGATAAAGTTTATTTTAATTAAAATAAAAATATATTCTGTCAGTGATTTTTCAAACAAAAAATAATAATTATTATTAAATTTATTTTAATTAAAAATATATATATCATGTATGTGATTTTTTAAATTAAAAAAAGATTTAAAAAGATTATTGGTGAAATTTATTTTAATTAAAAATAATATATTTTATAATTTTTTTTATTTTTTAGTTTAAAAAATCACTGACAAAATATATTTCCAGATTTTTTCCACTATTTTACCACTTTATCGTTCAAAATATGAATGTTCATTGGAGTTTTTTCCGGATTTTTTTTCACTATTTTACCACTTTAACTAGTTATACAAGTCATAAGAATGTATCCAACATGTTTTATAAAAGTTCAAGAAGTTATTTAACATGTTTTGGATTGTTCAAAGACTTATTTATTCCAAAAATTGTCCAAGGAGTTATTTAACATTTTTTGGAATGTCCAAGAACTTATTTGTTCCAAAAATTGTCGAAAGACTTATTTAATATATTTTGGAATGTCCAAGGACTTATTTGTTCCAAAAAATTGTCCAAGGACTTATTTAACATGCTTTGTAATGTCCAATGACTTATTTGTTCTAAAAAAAAGTCCAAGGACTTAATCATTCCAAACAAGAAAGTCCATTAGTTTTTATTGTATTTTTTTTAATGTATTGTTAAATGTCTTTTTTCTTGAAGTATCTTATTCAAAATAACATTGAATGAAAGTACATGTATTGTATATGATTGCATACTATTAAATGCGCTTTTATTTACTTTATAAGATTTAAACTCAATTATTTGTTCATATCTAATAATTTTTAAATTTTAACCGTGTAATTTAATAACACTAGAAGGGTATTCGCGCATTGCAACGAGATATATCTCGATTTTAATGTTCTATTTTATTCTTTGTCTTTGTCGATGTCATAATACGATTTTATGTGTTTTTAAGAAAACAATAATGATTTTATTTTTGAATAAAATATAAATTTAAAAATATCATAAAAATTTGAAAAAATATATCAATGTTAATATCAAATCAACTATTTAAAAATTCTAATTTTTGTATGTAATTTATTTAATTTATTTTTATTATAATTTAATTTAAGTTTAATAATGAAATAATTTATTTTTAGTTTAATAATATAACAATTAAGTATTCTGCTTGACATTTTTTTTGGTTCAGTTGATAACTGACATTAAGGGATTGTTTAACAGTTGTTAAATAATTTGGTGCAAAATAATTAAATGGTCAGAATGATTAAGAGGCTTTCATGATATAGTGTAAAAATGAAATATAATCGTTTGATAATTGTTTATAATGAAATTATGGTGCTGAATGGTTAAGAGAGACCTATGATACAAAATTATTCAAAGGGTTTTAAAACCACTAAAATACAAACTTATTTTTGCCAAACAAGATCCATCTCTTAACAATTCAAAGTTTGTTTTTTAGTGAAACTATTAAAAAGTAAATAAAAACAAATGAATTATATTTCATGATTTGATTCGTGTTAGAACTAAACGCTACCTAAAATCCTGTAATTGTCTTGGCTTGCTTTTCCTTTACCAACAAAAGCCATTTGGTCCTTTTCCTCTGTGTTTCTGTCATATCATCAATCATCCAATGAAGATAAAAAAACCAACGATATAAATACTAAAATAATCATCTCACAGTCTTCAATCCCTCCCTCCCAATCCCAACAGGAGTTTGCTCTTCTTCTTCCTCAGTATTCTTGTTCAATTTCATCTGTAATTTTGGTTTCTGAAGACAGATCGAGAGGGAGAATGTGGGGATTTGGGGGTCGATTCTATTGGGGGAAGAGAACGGAAGAAGATAGAAGAAGAGGACCAAACAAAGGAATAGTTGTGCTGTTCCCATGGATATCAAGTCAAGATAAGCAATTGAGGAACTATGTTGATTTATACTCCTCTCTCGGTTGGGATTCCCTTATATGCCATTCGCAATTTCTTAATCTGTATGTTTTCTCCACCCTAATTAGTTACTTTTCCAAACCCTAAGCTTGATTTGGTGGTGTTTTCTTCGATTTCCATGTTTGTACTTTACTTTTCTCTATGTTACAAAGAAGATACAGTTTGACTTTTTGAGGTCGATCGGTTTGATTTCAGTTTACACGTTTCTTGAGAAAAATTGATTACAAACTTGAAACAGTTACTAATATTAGAAACTTATTGGGGTTATGTTTATAACAAATCATGTCGAGTTCTTATTCTAAAATTCCAGTTGTAGCTATTTTCATGAAAAAGATGAATTACTTCTTACCTTCATCTTGGGGTTTCATAACCTTTGATTTTTGGTTTTTGATTGTTTTATTGGTATGATGAATCTGAGTTGTTCTTGAGCTTTAAGAGCTACCATGAATCTGAGTTGTTGTTGAACATTATAGTTGGTATTCCTTTTATTTATTATGTACTGGCTCATAATTCTGATATAGGTTTTGATCCTAGAATGAATAATGATGATCAAGATAGATGGATAGTTGAATGAACTGCCAATTTTAGGATTCAGTGTTGTCTTGGTCCTTGACAATATTGAAGTTTAATGGATAGAGTCGGACGAAATATGGCTCCATTTTGGGGGAGGGTCCATTTTTTCCCTTTTTGTGGTTTGAAAGTTAGAGCTCGGGTGGAGATGTGATGCAATTATCCGGACTATATGAGCTATTGACTTTATCAAACTAATCATCGTTCTTGCGAAAATGGAAAAGGAACTATAGCTTGCAAGAATGATGATTTTGGACTTAATGTTTCAAGTGCTATGGTTCGGTTTTGATTTACATTTATACAGTTTCTCCACAATCAGTCGTTCTTGCAAACTATAGTCTCTTGATGGTTTTCAATGAAAAGTCAAGTACGATGGTTTAGAAAGTCGATCACTATTAGAAATGACAATACAAAGGTAACTTATTTAGCATAATATAAAATGTCTTGATTTAGGCACTAAGGCCTGATATTCTTGAAATTTTCATCTTCCCATAAAATTATGGTGCATAATCAAATAACAATCATGATTCATGTCACCAATTAGAACCTCATTGTGGTGGTTGCTCTTGAAGAGTAGATGTTATATCCGTTTCAGACACCCGGATTGTAAAAAGATTTGGAGAATAGGATTTTGCGAGAAAAAACTTGGTTCTAAAAAGAAAAAGTTAATGTAGAAACCACCAAACGAGTACAGAACTATGATGAAAGCTTTATGTTAAAGTTCAACGAGTTTAATGTAGATTGAAAATATCGTGCTAAAAGTAAAAAGAGCTAAAATGGACTGGTGAACTGCGCTATCTTTTGTATTAGCCTAAGCGTCTTCGCTAACTCGCTCGCCTACTATATATAGTTAATCTTTATATAAATACTTCTTTTTTGTTATTTGCATTCGGCTTCTTGATATTGACATGAAATGATCCACAGATTCTTCCCAGATAAGGCAACAATGTTGGCGTTGGACGTTCTAAACGAGCTTCTTAAGGTAAATTCCATAACTTTTAACGATCAATCGTGTCTCTGTTTTACGACTACTTAATTCCTTGAGTTGGTAGACAAATAATTAGAAAGAATTGCTTGTTTTGACTACAATCCTTTTTCCTTTTCTTGATTAGTTAAGATTTCTTCTTCTCATTATGTGCATTAAATATTTTTATAGATTTAATACTATTTTCTGTTGTTTTGTACATGAAGGAGCTAAAAAGAAGACCATGCCCGGTTGTCTTTGCGTCTTTTTCCGGTGGCTCCAAAGCTTGCATGTACAAAGCTTTGCAGGTAAATATAGCAGATTCACATATGGTGTCATTTTGCAAAGGGTTGATTACCATAGAAACAGACGTACCACAAATTGTTCGTTAATTTTAGGAAATAACGATGATTGTTAACCAATTTGACGAAGAAATTTTGGTGGTGGATTTTCTTATTGGTCATGCTGAAATGCTTTTGTATCTTATTTCGACTCGCAATGCTATGGAGATGATCAGATGAACATGATTGTCAAGTTGGTCAAAGTTATGATACATCGTTAAATCGACGAGTGACATAGAAAATTTTGAAACGTTGTTACATCGATTTAGGAAAAAAGTTATTTGTTACACTAAATAGGAACTAAGGGGGACTTTGTTCATTCTAATGCATTTTGCTCTTTTGGTAATTAACCCCTTTCACAAAAGGATTCATACGGAGTCTTCCTACCGGTTAATAACTTGGCATGTTTTGTGGAACAGATAATCGACTCAAAGTGTGAATCTCATAGAAATCTGGTATGATTCCAATCTTTATTCTTCTTCTTTCCTTTGTATCTTTTTCTTAATACGATTGACCAACCCGTAAAATTACGGGTTTGACCATTTTTCTTGTTCTTGGTGGTTCCTTTTTGCATTATGTAAATCTGAAAACTTGTTTCGTCTTTCTATGGTGAAGGATGAATATCGACTCGTTAGAGACTCTCTTTCTGGACACATATTTGATTCCACTCCTGTGGATTTCACAAGTGATTTGGGAACCCAATTCATGCTTCACCCAACTGTTCTTAAACTATCCCGTCCTCCCACAATAGCAACATGGATCGGAAATGGCATCTCATCGTGCCTTGATGCTTTGTTTCTTAACAAATTTGAGTTGCAACGTGCCGAATATTGGCAGACTTTGTACTCAACTGTAGTAAGTTTCTGTTATTTGCCACTTCTTCAAGTTCTTGACTCTTTTACCGGTCTTCTTTTTAACAACTCTTGTGTTAAAACAACGCAGGCTATCGGAGCACCGTATCTAATACTTTGCTCAGAAAACGACGATCTTGCTCCCTACCAAATCATCTGCAACTTCGCTCAACGTTTAGAAAGCCTTGGTGGCACCGTTAAGTTGGTGAAATGGAGTAGCTCCCCTCACGTAGGTATGCTCCTAAACCCTCCGCTTGAAAACTTACGGATTTTCTAACGGACTGTTTGGATAAATGATTTTCAATTAGGAGAATGGCCTTCTAAAATCTAGCTCAATAACCTTCATCTGACCTGCCTCTGGTTCGAAACACTCTTCCCCTGTAAAATCATAAAAATACGCTAGAGCGTAGCATTCTCAAATTCAGTTTTTAAGGATGGTTATAAAGCTAAATAACCCCTTTTATAACTTAGGCCATGTTGTCATCCATAAGCTTGCTTATAAACTAACTTCTGAGCTGATTATAAACTAGCCCGAAAGCTAACTTTTTGAGTGCTACTTGACGCGTTTCAACAAGCTTCAAAGGGCCTTTTTCCAATTATGTTTTTTTATATTTTTCTAACAGTTATTTTAACATGACCTTTTTGGTCATTTTACATTGTCTTCTAGCTTACGAGCTAGTTTTTACCAAACATGACTAGGTTATCTGCTAGCTTGTCAGCCAACAGCTAGTTTGTCAAGCATAGTAAATATGTTAAGACAGGTCAACAATCACTTGTGCAGGTCATTTTCAATATCATTCAGATGAGTACAAGGCTGCTGTGACTGATCTCCTAACAACGGCTGTATCCGTTTACTCATCGAGAACCCAACAACTTACTGCCGCCCATGATGAGACCACGGAGCCACTACGTCACCTAAGGGAAGCGGTTTCCACCTCGAACCAGTACCAGAGCTTCCACAGGGTCACTCTTGATTTAAACGACCACTTTGTGGTGCCTGGCTCAGTCGAGTACCACGAAGGTCGAGACGTGGGGTCCGTTCACGATGCACCTAAAGAACGTTTCATCCCACGATCAACCCCACCAAAGATCAACGCTCATGGGATTCTTGGTCAAATCCTGTTTGATGTTTGTGTCCCGAAGACCGTTGAAGATTGGGATTTAAGGTCAGCATCATCTTCCTTTGCCACTTTTGCTTCGGGCCGGAGACACTCGAACTTCAATCCTATAAAGTGCATCCGAAGATCGAGACTGTAATTGTTTTTGTATCCTCCGGAGTTTTCGTGATGCTTAACGAGGTGGTTTAAATAAATGAGGTTTTTTAACATGAAATGTACATACATATATCCACAGTTTGTAGACTATTTACAATAAGGAAGTTTTGATGACTATTTTGGTTTTTTTATACGAAAGCAATACACAAAAACGATGTCTGTTTTATGGGTAAATACGGGTTAGTATCGACAAAGAAAAATGATTTTTATGTGATCACGAATTTGTATCGATAGATCTTAAATTTCAACCCGACAACCCAATTGGACCCATTCCAGTAATAGGTTGAATAAGTCGACCCGAAGCCTGTAGGGCTATCTCTAACAGCTATTTTATTTTAGAAAATTTTGGAGATTTGAGAAAAGTTTTAAGGGTTGTTTACTTGCGGTTTAAGTAGGTTTATTGGTCTATCTGGCTTATTCACACAACTCATTTGAGTTGTTTACTTACGACTTATTCGCACAGAACATGGCTTAATCACACAGATAGAAATGGTGTGTTGTCCTCATTCTACCACAAAAATGACACTTCTACCCCTTATTTAAAGCATCGCTTCCTTTCCATATGAGATACCACATATGTCCTCTTTATGATTTTTTGTTTTGATGTTCAAATAATTAATATTGGAAGGTAAATCGGTCATTTATGTTATTCATACTGTTGGTTCAGATAAAAAAAATAAACGATAACACCCATTTATCCGGACAAACAAATTTATCTATACAAAACTTAATATAAAATTTGATAAACAAACAGCTATTTTTGACAATATCCCCTGCTGGAGATGTGCTAAACCTGATATATTGGGCTAAAAATGGGTTGGGAACCCCACCCAACTGATAAATGATGATGTGGTGATGACTGATGAGTTCAACATCTTTATTTCTTTTTCCTGCTCTGATTCAGACTTTATGATTCTTATTCAGACTTAGAGCCTCTTTGACTATTGTTGAATGGTTTATCTAGAATGATTAAGTGATTAGAATATATGAAGAGACTCTTATTCTATAATGCAAAATGAAATATAATTGTTTGAAAATTGTTTACAATGAAATTAGAGCGCTTAATGGTTAAGAGAGAGTCAGGATACAAAATTATTCAGAGGGTTATAGAACCATTAAGAGACAAACTTTTTTTCCAAACAAGATTTACCTCTTAATGATTTAAAGGTTGTCTCTTAATGAAACTATTAAGAGGTAAACAAACAATCCCTTAGTTAATCTTCACTTCTTTAGTTGACTTGGTTCGTCTTTTGTCTTATCAACTCATCTCAATCTTTTTCCATTGCCGGTTCATCACATGGAATCGACCCTTTAACCATCTGATATTACTTGCTACTAATTGTGTACTCATTTGTTTAAACATTGTGGTAGATTTAGAGTTTCAGACTAAAAAGAATCTGACTTTGTAGTGATTCAGAGTTTCAGACTAAAAGAATATGATTTATCATGTCATGAACATTTTTTAACAACTTTTCTAGAAATGACTCGGCATTTTTTTAACATATCATGTTCAATTATTCAAATCTATGACTTTTCAATAATATTATTGTCCTGTTTTCTCTCAAAAGTCAAATACTTGTACCAAAAGTGTTGCAATGCAGATCCGAAAACTGCATGTATTCTGAACATTGTAAAAACTATTATTATAAGGTACTGTTTTACATAAAATTTTCTATCTAATACTATAATTTAATATATTTATTAACATATGTTTATTTCATAAGTATTCGGTTCACAATGTATACACATCATCATTTCTCAAATGGAGCCCCCTACCTCACACTTTTAAAACATTTTTTTTCTTTTTTTTTAAATATTTAATTTAAAAAGTCTTGCATTTTTATAAAGACATTTTTTCCTTAAAAAAATTGAACGACATTTTCTTTGTATAAAAAGTTCATATTACACATGTTCATCCAGTTTTGAAATCACCGGGCCATATATTCTACCTTAAAAAATTCGTTACATATATAAATGACGCGATATGTTGACTTATAATTTGTCCAACGTTGAATTCTTTATGACACGCTTCCTAATGAATAAATTATTCAAAGTCTGACGTGACACTCTTGCTGCCGAGACAACTTTCAATTTGTTCGATTTCTGTGATATGCTTTCAATTGCATTTTCAAGAAGTTTTAATGTATTCCACTTACAAACACGATACTATATCTTGTACAAATCATTAAAAATATCAGTTTATGAACATGTAAAATTTGGACTGTTATAATCAAAATAACCGAAATTAAAAAAATAAAAACTCCAATGAAAAAATATTTCCCAACATGACACCAAAATCACCAACATACAGAAATGCAAAAACAACAAAATTGAAAATAGCCGAAAACAAAAAGGATATTAATTGTAATCTACGGGTTGTTTGGCGGTTGCTGAATGGTTTGGTGCAGAATGATTAAGTAGTCGGAATGATTAAGAGGCTTTCATGATATAGTGCAAAATGAAATATAATTGTTTGGTAATTGTTTACAATGAAATCAGGACACTTAATGGTTAAGGGAGGTCAAAATTCAAAATCATTCAGAGGGTTTTAGAACCATTAAGAGGTAGATTTTTTTTTGCCAAACAAGATTCACCTCTTAATGATTCAGATGTTGCCTCTTAATGGAACTATTAAGAGGTAAACAAACAACTCCTACATGGTGTTTAATCAATTTTGATATCAATGGTATCTTATTTTTGTTCTTTATCGTTTTGTTATTTGCTATTGGATGCGACAAAATGTGGTCTTATATATGTTTGATGCGATTAAATAGATTATCTCATCTTTGGGAGGCGATGAGATAGGGTTGTCTCATCTATATAATGCGACAAAACAAGGTTTGTTGTGATAAACGTCAATTACATGTTATCTTTTCAAAGATTGGCTTTCCAAAAGATATTTTGATGATTTTCACACTGTAATTGCAATCAAGAAAATTACTCACTAGACCTTATGGTATAACCCTCATTTTGTTTTAAAAGTGTGCATTACAGGTCGGGCACATGTGGGAAGAAAAAGGAAAGGGAAGATGTGAAGGGATTTGTTAATACTTGACATCTATAGATTTTGGGGAAGCTGAGTTGTGTGCATGTACTTGAGAATGTGTTGTATACAATTCATGTATTTTATATGAGCAAAAAGTTGTAACTACTTTTGTATGTACCAATTTGTATAATTTGGGACCAGTGTGTAATTATTGTATTCCATGTTATATGAAATATATGTATTGTATGCAAAATGTAGAAATGGGGTGTTTCAGCTAGACTTGGATAATTTTTCGTAAATATATACAGGAACCCACTTCTCCTTTTAAGGGATCATCTAGAGAGTAATCTGGAGGTTCCACATATTTTCACATAATATCGGAGCCAATGTTTATCACATAGGACATTATGTACTTGTATAGCCATCTCATCCATGTTAGCCCCCTTTGAACATTTTGGGACAATCTGTGCTCGTATAGCTTTCGCTGGAGGGGAAGTGTTATAGTCTCACACCGACTAGATTTGAACAAATTCTTCTCAATATATGTTGGGACTCTCACTCTCTTATTAATGACTTTCTTGAAGAGTAATACTGTAATCTGAAGGTTGCACATTCTCATAATCTTATAAATTCATGAATTAGCACTTAACACAAAAACACATAAAATAGTGACATTTCAAATTTGAAAATATACGAAACAAGTTTAGTTCTGGTTTTGAATCAAAATGAACCAAGAATCGTATCAAACCGAATATCAGATTTTATAAAGATTTAGAACCAAATTAAGCATAGCCTAATTTAATCGAGTCTTGATTGTGTCATTCAACTTTATCGATCCAAAAAAGAGTTCGACCAAACCTAACGGACAAAATAAATATTTTTAAAAAATAAAAATTAAGGGGTTGTTTGACAGTTGCTGAATGGTTTGGTGCAAAATGATTAAATAATCAGAATGATTAAAATGCTATAATGATATAATGTAAAATGAAATATAATTGTTTATAATGAAATTAGGGTGCTTAGTGGTTAAGGGAGACCCATGATACAAAATTATTCAAAAAATTTAGAATCATTAAAAGACAATTTACCAAACAAGATTATCTTTTAACTGTTTAAATGTTATTTTTTAATAAAACTATTAAGAGGTAAACAAAACGGTTCATGGTCTAGAATTACAAAATGAACCAAGGTGGTTTGGATCTAAGCCTAGGGCCCGTAGAAACAAGGATTCAAAGGCAGCAGGGCGTGTGACCGCAACTCATACGCCGGCGATTCCCACAACCTCTCCCCCCAATTTACCGGAACTCCTTAAACAATGCAGAGATGGTGCTCCAAGCTCCGATTACTCGCCGTCGTCCGGTCATCTTCATCATTTCCTAAATCTCAACAACCACCACCATATCTCCACCGCCACCTCCGTACCCGTCTCTTCCATTCTTCTACCCCAAATTTCCTCAACAAATCCCTAATCACTCCTTCTATGATTTCTCCCAATTTTCATCCCCTGCTATGCACTTCCCCTTCAAGATTACAAGTCACGACAAGCTCCATTCGCGCTTCTTCACTTCCTCTCTCTGTAAGTTAGGGTTTTTCTTTTGCTCATATCTTTTGGAATTTGGTGTTTGTTATGATATCGGATTGGAAATCTAAGGACTTGCGGTGTGGATAGCTTATATGAACGCTGCTAGCTTAAACAATTTAATTTACCCTGTACCTGTATGTAGAAACCACTTGCTGTGAAACAGAAATATTTACATTTTGCCTTTAGTTGCTTTTCTTTTTCAACATCAAGCTGCTACTGATTTTAGTTTTTGAGAAAAAGGTTTACCATTTTCAAAGAACTTTGTAAGAACTAATTCAAATTGAATCATGTTGGTGGTCAATTTGCAACAAAATCTACATTTATTAGGTTTGTCATCATAAATCAAAATGTGGTGATCTTCTTTTTGTTTGAAAGCCTGTAACGTATAATTCAGTCTCACCTTGGTAGCAAAAACTGTCAGGTTTGCAGGAATTATGAATTTGAAAAGTGGACCTTATGCTATTATCAACCATTTGCCTATATGTATAAAATAGACCATGAGGATAAAACCTACCTCCATACTCTACAAAAAGAAATGCACATCGATTTTGATGTCAATTAGTACTTGTTAGATGCAATATTCAATATGGATTTTATTTATGATTTTAACCAACATTAGTTCGATTATGTGTCTTCCTTGCTTGTCATAAAGGTCTTATGTTATGTAAAACTTGACAAGTCCATAAATATTCTCAGTTTGAAATTCAACCCATTTGATCTTTAAAGTCAGTGTTCTCATAATGGACTTGAGGGACTAATGGTGAATGGTCTTAACTGAACAAAAAAGTTATTATCCTGAAAGCAACTGTCTGCAACTAATGTTGGCCATATGCATACATGTAGAAAGAATTTTGTAACGAGAAACTTGAAGATAAAACTGATTGCATCTGTTCTGAAGTTGGACCCCCTTTTGCATGCACAAATTTTGTAGCCATTTTTTTTCTTCCTACTTTACCAACCAATGGTAAGTGATGATTTTGTGGATGCCATGATGTTGATTATGACACTGATGAGAGTTTAAGTATTGCATTATACTGCAATATATATATATATACACACACACAGAGAAAGGTGTTTCTCTGTATGGTATCTATATCATTCCTTCTCCTTCCATATATATTGGAATCAGGAAGTACAGTGATGATGAAAACTTGCATGTGGTTATCCCATTGGAAGCTAAATATGTGTGTTAACTTTCTCACTTCCTTGAAATGGTTTAAACTGCTGAATTTCTTGTTTCTTGCTTATTTATCTTGTGGGATGACATTCTAGTTTACCACTATATATAGTTCATGCAAGTGCGGCATCTTACTCTGAAGCAAAGGAAGAGGAAGTTAAAGAGTAGGCAGCCACTTAGTCCAGTAGTCTCCAAGTTGAAGAAAATCAAAATGAAATCTTATTCGTATGTGCTGCTTCCTTTTGCATTTTAATCTCATGAATATTATATGCTAGCATATGCGAAAGAATTTATGTGTTCCTGGGATTTTAATCAGGTCTTTCAAGGGACGATTTAGGACTATGAAAGATGGGCAGATTAGGCGGTGGAAGGAAGGCAAACGACATAATGCTCATCTAAAGGCATGTTTATAATCTCTCATTTTATTCGTCATACGCTCATACTATTGGTCATATTAGAATATTGAAATATCAATGAGGTCGTGCTTTTACATACTTAAATATCTGCTTATTGTGAAATTTTTTATGCTCTAGCTTAGACACGCACACTTTCTCTCTCTCTCTCTCTCTCTCTCTCCCCTCCCTCTCTCCCTCTCTGTTGGTATTTAATGAATTGAGTGGTTCTCACTGTAACTTCCCCAAATTTTGGACAACAATTTTCTGTAAGAGATTGTAAGAATATATAGTTTGACATCCTTTATTGCAGAAAGTTCTTTTTGACCTTGCTTTAGTGGTGTACATATGAAAAGAAGTGAAAAAAAATATAGATAACCAAGCTGCTTTCATGTAGATTGGTCATGTGCATAACATTCATCCACTCATTCATTGCAAAGTAAAATGTTAACTGCACTAAACAATTCTATTCATATGAATCAACCTCAATGTATGACCTTCAAATGCCAAATGTCAATGCATGTTCTTTTCCCGTCCTTACAATTAACGTCCTGAAATTGGGAGCACTGTATTGACAGTACTCCCTTATTCAGTCAGTTGTAGAGACAGTCTGAAGATCTTTGTTAAAGCCTATGACAGTGTCTGCTGTCCCATTTACTGGTCCGTTACTTTTATATCTTGGATTTTAAAGACAATATATATTGCCAAACAAATTAGTTTGGACATATTAAAACTACAAAGCTATATTATGACACACAGACAGGGAGAAGCTTCAAAAATGTATTTTTTTTCATAGTATCAAGCTTGATTTTAATTCATATTAAGGGATGAGCTCTTTGAGAACTCGAATTACAGGTGTAATTTGCTTTATTGTCTTTGTACAAACATATATTGGGACTTATGATTTAGATTACTGCTTGTAATGAGTCAAAATGTTTATACTATTTGTAAGCTGACAAGCATTGCATAGCTGAAAGCAAAACTTGCAGAACCTGTCATAGAATCTAAGTAGAATACAGGATTTATTTAAGTGAAAGGTAGGAAATTTCGTGATATGTAAAAGGAGGTGCTATTGGGTGTTATAATATGGCTGTGGACTGTTATAAGATGGGTAGCTTGTATACTTAATGAAGTTTCAGTGGCATGCAAAACATCAAAAGGTTATATTGTAGGAATCTGTCTCCTTGAATGATAATTTGTGCTTAAACTGAAGTATATTATATGCTCTGTTATTGAATAAGGAAGGCTATGAACTTTCTTGTCTGCTAGAACCCATAGCGGTTGTGAATCCAGCAAGTAAAATACACTAGGATAAAGTAAACCAAACCAAAGGAACCGAAAATATCCCACACAGAGGTAGGGTCCTTTTTCTTGGGCTTTTGGGGGGTAGAATGTATGCTGATCTTGCCTCCACTAGGATGAAAGTAAACCAATGAACCCTGTATATTCCACACAGAGGTAGGGTAGGGGTAGGATGTACACATACATTGCCTCTACTAGGACGAAAGTTTTCCAATGAAAGACACTGAACTTTCTTTACTCTGTATCTCTCTCTCTAGTAAGTTTGTACAGAATGAACTTCCCGTGGGGCACAATTGGAAAAAATATATGCGTGGTTATTTATGTGTTTGGCCAGTTATGAATGGTCTTCTCATTGATCATGTGACTGATCCTGAGTAATTGGACAGAGGCTGAGTTAAATTCTGCTATGTGCAATAAATGCTGGATCAGATGATAATCTTATAGAGTTACAGGAGATTGGTTGATTAGTTCTTTTTATAGTTCTATGACTCGGGATTTGGCTCCACTTTATGAACAGAAGCAATGCTACCAACTTCTTTTTATCCATCTTTTATATTCTTCCTATGAAGATTTCACCATTGTTTTTCCTACCTTCCATGAATCATGTCTATTATTGTTTCTTAGCCTGTGACCTTGTACATTAGTCCTAAAATTTCTTCTTGTGATTGTAATTATATGTATTGCGCTTTGTGTTTGCTTGTTTGTTTAACATATTTCCTTTACATCTATCCCTGATTCATTTTCTGCTTACTGGACCCATTGCTTGTTTGCACACACTCATCTGTAGCTTGCTTGCTTCATAAAAACAGTCTCTCTACCTCTTGGGGTAGAGGCAAGGTCTGTGTACATCGTATACCCCTGTATATTTAGGCATATAATCTCAAATGAGATTTTTAGTTATATCCATGACCTTCTCTTGAGTGTGGAGCCATTTTTCTTTAACAGGTTAGGAGGTCATGGATTTAATTGGATCTCGTTTAAGGTTATATACCTAAATGCCCGATTGTACCTTCGAGCCTACCTCTGCTTGGGATTTACTGGGTCCGTTTGGTTTGGTATGGGTTTGGAAGATATCACAGCAGTTAAAAGTTATTTATATGCATAATGCCCAGTTGTAGTTTAAATCCAATAATCATAAAGCTAGTTAGGATTGATGCGAGTACATTAATTGCTTCTGCAGTCGAAGATAGCAAAACGTAGAGGCAGACTACCTGGCATAGTCCCAGCAGCATACGCAAAAGTGATGAAGAAGCTCAACTTCTGCGGTTAAAGAAACCGTCTCTTCATGTTTCTGCAGTAGAACTCCAAGGCAAGCTCTTTAGTTGTTTTTACCGACTTTTTTAATCATAAAATCTTGAAATATTCTTGTGGTCATTTCGAATTTGAAACATTGACCAATCTTTTCGACAATGTCTGATATTATCTGTTACATGCACAATATGGCTGGAGGTAGTTTTGAAATTTATCTCATTCTAAAGGTGAAAAGGATCTCAAATTCCCAATTAACCGATACTTGAGTGCTCTTACTTAACCCTGCGTGGGATTTATTGGATTCGTTTGGTTTTGCCTGCTGTCATTGAACTTGTAAATTTCCAATGGACAGAACATATATACTCTTTCTGGATGTAGGTATTTATTTGTTTCTGCATGTATACAATTAGTAACCTAGATAACGTACTTTCATGGGCGGACCTAGTTCATAGCATACGGTGGCACGTGCCGTACCTCATGTTCTGTCGTAATGGAAAAAGAATTATGTTTGTGAAGGGTGCCATCATATCGTTTCATTGGGTTCCCTTATTACCTTATACTTTTTTAAACTAAAGTAATTGTACAAGTTTGTGATGGCATAGATGGTTATATATAGGCCGGCCTGCCTGCCTGCCATCCACCTCAGAATAAAAAGAGTTTTCCTGCAAGTACTGAAACCATTAAAAGAACACCCAATAATTTATTGGGTACTGTACGAATTTAAAGGGTGCAAGATCTACCCCTGCCTTTGTCAAGCTCCTTACTTTTATAGCTTAAATTTCGTGTTTAGTATTTTTCAAAGACAATGCCGTCAGAAGGTTCGAACACAGAGCTCTTTTTGTACAAGGGCAAGGAACAAGCTCTTGGAGAACTTTCATGGGTGACGCTTGAACCCATGTTCTTGGTCTTTTTTCCTTTTTCTCATACTTCTGCACATGCCGAGAGTCTACATAAAACAACCGTTATATATTTTGGGATTGGGGGTATAATCTGCGACGCTGCTCACATTCCACCCTGATCTTGCTTTCGACTCAGATGACAATTACTTATTGCTTTATACATGTCACATATTATGTGAAGGATTTGAAAAACGAAAAACTTCAAAAATATGATTTATTTGAGGATGATACTATACATTACAAGAATGTTAAAAATATTGTAAGACCGAGACCATTTTCAAACCAAAACACATAATGTACCCACACCACACCACACCATTCTTGGTACTTTTTACATTTTAAAGGCCCCTTTCAAAAAAATGTTAACATACCAATGGACCATATTTTTTAGTACATCATCCATTTGTGAAAATAACCTCGAAGAAAGGCATGCGTAGTGGAAAAGGCTCGGCCTAGTGAGGCCAAAGCCGGGTTTGGTCCAGGACTCAAGGCTCGATCAGCCTGGGTTATACCCATGCCATCTTAATGCGTATCTCTAGTCTAGGGGTCCGAAAACGGGTTGGAAGGCTCAAGCCTAGGGGTCCGAAAGGTCTGGGAATTGTGTATCTCTAGTCTACATCTTAATGCGTGTTGTGGATAAAGAGTTTGCTCACCTCTCCGCGATGCCTCCATTATAATTGGCCACAACCATCATGGGAGAATTAAATCGTGGTGTCTCTAATCTAAGGCATAGTTGGCGGGTTCATCACAAAAGTTGTAACGGATTACCCAAGTATTTTCTGAGTGATTCATTGATATTTCTTGAAAGACATTGGATGCTATTGGTATTTTCTGAATGATCCATCTACAGCGCTAATCATCGACATAAATTTGCTTGGATGGTTTTTGTGGGTAAAAGTCATTTCTTTTATAGTGTATAAATGTAACATATTCCATGACTTGTGTTTGATCAAGATATCGAGGATAAAGTGATTTGGATACACATAATGCTGGAAACGCACAACGTCTCCTAACGTGCCAAACCCTACCCGGGTTTTATGAGTAGATGCCAGTAGAAGCAAACCCCTTTGTTTTTGCTCGTGAATTGATCTAAACCTGAGTGTTGATTCATGACTGAACGCTTTAATGCTAAAGTCATAAACTTACTTTATATGTATTAATTCTTCACACCGATTTAAAATAGAATCAAGATTTCATATTATGTGTGCATGGGTCATGTGTAAAATTGTTTTATATGACTTGGTTTCATACCCACTTCATTCAAGATCCACAACCATTGATGAGAATCTTGATCTCATTCATCGATTCTGGAGTTTTATACTGTTGAAGGTCGTTGTCGATGATGGTAGAGTGGTTAAGGTGGATGATGAAAATGAAGATGTATTATGGTGCAAACGATGAATGAGCATAACGATGGTCTTTAAACAAAATCAAAATAGCAAAATAATTTAATCGATTAACCTAGATGTCAATTTTATGGTATTTTTGACAAATATAAGATAGCTTATTTTTTAAGCTTATTGTAAAAATCTCGTTGGAATAAGCAAAAATTAGTTCATAATCTAGCTTATTTGAAACATTATTTATGAAATAAAAATAAACTATTTAGATATTTTTCATTTTATTAATACTAGAAGCGTACTCGCGCAATGCAGCGAGATACATCGTGATTTTAATATTTCATTTTATTATTTATCTCAGTCGATGTTATAATATGACTTCATGTGATTTTAAGAAAGCGATGATATTTTTATTTTTGAATAAAATAATATGTCTGAATATATCATAAAAATTTGACAAAAATATATCGATATTAATATCAAATTAACTCTTTGAAATTTCTCATTTTTTTGTGTAATTTTTAATTCAATTTTTTTATAATTTAATTTATGTACAATAACGAAGTAATTTATATTTGGTTTAATAATATAATTTTTTTATAAAGATAAAAATTATTTATTTTGTTGGAACTCGATAATTATTTT